TTTTACTTATATATATGTGTATATATATATATATACATTTTTTTTTTTTTTTAATGAATTCTTATTAAATATTTGATTACTCAACCATTGGTGAAAAATCGCAAATCTACCGTTATTATATTACCATATATGGTCAACGCACAAATAAGTAACAAATTAATAAACGTTCGGTCAATAAAAATGCTGTTAATAATTGACACTAAGTTTTTTTGCTGTATGTCATTTATGTAACATGTATGTAATATATAAATATGTATATATAAATAAATTAATATATAAACACGTATATATATACATATGTATATATACGTACAAATATTTATATATAAATAAATTATTATATACATATATATATATATACATATATATGCAGTGTACGTGTAGGTATACATATATATAAATATATACAAAACCGTGCAAAGTACATATAAAATAATATATAAATAACATAAAGTATTATAGCAAAAAGAGATCGTAAGAATTATTTGATTATAAAAAAATTAAGAAAACTTTAAAAATCTTCAAGCGATTCTTTGTTACGCTTCTTTTACGAGCACTTTTTAAGGAAATATTGAATAATCTAAAATACATTGTGAGTCGTCGCCTCACAAACTTTATACATTTATTATTTGTTTACTATAATGTATTGTGAGGGCTTAGATTACCCGAACCTGCGACTGGGGTAGGAACCTGCGGTCCAGGTCATCGATCACAAGAAAATTTATATTTTGGTTCTTTATAATATTCTTCACTTTATTGTTTAATATTTCACTCACGGTTCACAATCCTACCGCAATCGTATTTTCTAGCTTTTCTAGCCTAGTCTGCTCGCTCTCGGCCTTCGCGACTGGCTCCTCTTCTAAAGCCCAAACTTAACTCCCTTAAGCTTAACTACTTACTTGCTAATCTAATTTCTCTTTGCTTATCTCGACTTACACTCTAGCTGACTCCTAACCTAGCTTTCTTATCCTACTCACTTTCTAGCTTACTCCACTTCTCTTAGCCTAACTTAGTTTACTCTTAGTTTATCGTAGCCTATTCTTAGTCTATCAGAGCGCTCTTACGCTACTTAATCTCTAACTTACTCTAGCGCTCTCCCCCACCTGGGACGGAGAAACTGTGAGGCGAAAACGAGTTCCGACTTTGGCTCCTCACAGTATATATATATTTTTTAATTTAATATTTATTAGACTTCGATTCTTAAAAATATATATTCCGCTTTAATCACTAAGAGTTTGTGCGGATGTGTGACACATCACTTTCGGAGACTTTCCTTGCAAAACAAAAGTATTTGCTTATGTGTTTTGGTTTTCAGACCAATTACAATGATCGCACGAATTGCACTGCAAGGGGAAAACCTTGAGATTCCTCGATACTCGCGTATACAGATAGTATATGTACTCCGATTATATATTTTTTTATACCCTCTCTACATATGGTCCAAAGATATATTAAGATAGTGCAGATGGATGTACGCAACACACACACACAGGGACTTGAGGCAAACCTATCTGATTTAGAATCACTTTTTCAGTTGGATCTAAGCTTGTCTGTCCGTCTGCCTGTCTTGTTTTTCTTTCTTGTGTTCAACTTTCAAGCCGCACTTTTTGAGTTATATTAATGAAGCAGAATGAAGTATGAAAGAACTCTGTGTTCGCATTGGGACTTGTTTGCACATACCAGTAAATTTTCGGTTGTTAATTTGCTGAATAACAGAAGAAGAAGAAGAATGATGTATGTAGTTATAAGCTAAAGAAAGAAGACACGCATTCTTACTTCGAGGAAGACATAGCAGCACTAATTTTCATCTTCAATATAGAGAAATCTGCGGCGGAGACTAACTGAATGAGACTGCGGCTAGTTCAAAAAGGCCTCGCGAGTGCTTTCAACTGTTCAAAAGCAGTGAAATTGATACATTTGAACATGTTCTTTATTTGATGGGATAAGCTTAGTATAGGGTATTGTAAGCTGCTAAAACCATCCATGGAAAGACGAACGGCCGCAACTCATCAAGAGGTAAGATGAAGGGATTTTTTATCATAACAGCGCCTAAGCTTCCCTCCATGACGCAACGATGGAAACGCGGCCATATTCTGCAGACATTGTCCCTTACAACTGGCACCTGTTTCGATCAATGGCACATGAGCTGACCGACTAGAATCTTGGCTCAAGAAGTCAAAAATTGGATTAATACGTAGCTGATCTCAAAAGTTGAGCAACTTTAGGGAAAATTTTTATATATTGTCATGTACTAGGCAGCAGTCAAGTTTTTTTTTTTTTCAACCTTGATATGCTTTAATTGTTTAACAACATTTACTCACTTATTTGTAATTCAATTATGTCGAATAATATAAAATTTATGCTTTTACACAACAATATAATCGGTGCTTTTTACGCCGTCAAAATGTCATCAATTATTAGGCCATAAAAACGAAAAAAAAAAAATGATAATAAAAATGAAAATAAAATGAAAGGTCAAAGCGTTTTTTTTTTTTTGTTTATTGCACTCATAAAATAAAGTTTATTTAATTTTTCTTTATTTTTTCATATATACATATATATATACATATATAAAAGGCTAATATACATATATAAAAGTCTAACCAAGAATTTCCGTTAAATTAAAAAATAAAAAAGAAATTCTTTTTAAACGCATCCGTCTTGGCTTTCACAACATAGTTCGGTTCGGTTCTCACATATAATCAAAGCTTGCTATAGAGAATATATATTCTTTTATTCGTGTAATGATAAAAACGTGTTTAGCTTTAAAATGATTGTATGCTAAATAGATATTATGAAGATATGCATATGTACATATACATATGTAGTTATGTCAGTATGAATACATCTGGCAATATGTATAGAATTTATAATAAATTACTTTTAAAAATGGAAAACATAGATAAATCCTTGAGTTTCGATTATTGTTAAACGAGGAAAATATAAGACTCGAGTAGAAAATTATGTTTAAAATGCGCTTTGCCTTACGACGCCACAATGGTAGTAAGTATAACGTATACATTAATAAACTGCATACGTTCGAATGTAAGATTAACGAATCTTTGGCAAAATATTCACTCTTGGATGTTGGATAATGGGCTTCACATTAACCTAAGCAAGACTGAGACCTCATTTCTAAACTCTCCTCCAGTGGGGTTCTTCAACTTGGTTATTAAAATATCGAGGTATTCTATTAATGCAATGCCTTAGGGTAAACTTTGATTGTAAATGCAATTTTTACCTGAACCTTGATGGTATTCCTGGAGAAAGTTCTCTTACCTTACGAATCCAAATCTCTTGCTTCCTCCTATATGACTAAATACTCAGTGCATGGTGTTGAGGGCAACGAAAGGGCTGACTGTCTAGCCAACAGGGAAGCTCGAGAGACCATGCCCGGTCCTGAACTTTTCTGTGGCGTAGCAAGAAGCCATATTTACAGGCTGGTATCGCAATAGGCACAGGAAAAATCGGATTGCCTTTGAAAGCAATTTGCAGGACAAGGGCAGGCAAAAAGATTCAAAAAATGGCACATAAACCACTGGAATAAAAATAAGAAGAAGCAATCTACATTTGGTCACGGGCCTCTACGCCAGTCATGATACCCTCAGTTGCCATCTGAGAAATGTGGATGTATCCGTTACCGATTCATGCAGGTTCTACGGAGGGACAAGGAAACGTCCCATTATATTCTATGTGAAAGTGAGGTTATCTGCAGAATCGCATACCATATGTTTGGCGAACATTTTACAACATGGGACACGGTATTGTGTTCCGATTCAAGAAAGGTGGCGAGATTTATAAAAATCCTAAAATTTGAAGGCTAGGGGCATGGGCGACTACAACAGATCTTCTACGTCACTGTACGGATTGCCCACGCAATTAATAGTAACAACAGTAGTTAGCAGATGAACCCTATTCGTGCAATACTGTCACAGTTGAAAAGAAGTAAGGAAAGAGACAAAGATAAAGAAGTGATAGCCGCTGCTTAATAGACGTTCACCTTATCGATAAGTCCAATACTAATGCTTTCATTGACTGAGCAACCAATATAACTAGGATTCCACTTTGAGATTTGAACTCGCGAACACTGACTTGGCCACCGCAATTCTTACTTCACTGTTCATGTGGATCCTCTGTAAATGGCTCCAATTAACTATTCACATGAATAATATGCAGAGGAGTATGAGGAATATGCACAAAAGAAACAAAAAGCTTGTCGTATTGAAACCTTTGTCCATATAACTTGGATGGGCTTCACCTAAGCTTTCTTTTGCTAACCCACCTCTACAAAATCATTCGATCGCTATCGTCCAACCTTTTAACGGATTACGGCAACGTTTACAGTGTTGAAGATCAAATAGGAACCCTCTCAAATTAATACCACACCATTTAATGATATTTGATATAATATTTTATTGCCTGTGTAGCTTGGTATTGGAATACGTGACGATTGAGTTTGAAATTCTTTGAAGATTCCTTGAATATGTTTAGCAGAAATGGACGGCAATCTTAACCTTGCAAATATCACTCAATGCTGGCAAGAAATCATTACTAGAGACTTTATGGAGAATATTGATTGCGTCAAGGGCTCTTTAATCGAATTATACATATACTTACGTTATAACCTATCTCTGGTGCTTGATAATTGAACACTTTATGGCTTTGTACACTGATCTATGACTTTATAATTGCAATAATAATAATAAATAGAAACAATGTTTTTTTAGAATCTTTTTACACGATTTCGTCTTATTTACCACGGTTGGAAACATGGTTTTTTTTTTTTTTTTTTTTTCTTGATATTAATTATTGCCATTGATCATAATTTGTTTATGAAGATTGTTTTTTTTTTTTTTCTAACCATCGTTTCTTTGCTATAAATTTTTGTAATAAAATAAAAAGACTTAAGCAAAAAACTTGCTTAAGGTAGAAATGAAAGATATTTTTCTTAATTAAAGTTTTTTTATATTGCATTGCATCTATTCTATGTTTAATTTCAGTAGACTTGAATGCTTATATTGCTACAACGATGGCAACATTATCAACAAATCCTTTATCCACAATATCGCCGAAGCTTATGGAGACCACAATACTACCAATAACGGCATTAGCGGAAGAATCATCATTATCAAGTAATGCGAAAACAGCATCTACAACAACGGAAAATAGTAAATTAATAGAAACCACCACCCATGAAACGAATAAATCGATAACCATGACAACAACAACAGCACCAGCCGTAGTAACAACAACATCAAATTCTAGAAATGATACGAAAGAAGAAAAATCCATTATTAATGAAATAGAAAAAGAACAAATATTGACTATAGTAACAACAACAACACCAGCAGCAGCAAGCAAAGAGAATTTCATAACAACTATGCCATCGGTAAACGAACACGAAAACAACAGCAACAACAATAGTAATAACAATAACTATAATGAACATCAACAGCAACAACAACAGCATTTACACAAAGAAGAAAACTTTATACAAAAGATTGGTGAGGAGACTACCGTGAAAGGTGAAGAAGAAATGGAAAAGACAACCGAACTTATTATAAATACTACGATCAATGATGTTTACGCCGATGAAGATGAAGAGAAATATGTGAAAACGTTATCAAGTACGGAACATTATCGCGAACCCGAAGAGCAAATAAATCAAATTTCAGTTGATTTGGAAGATGATGTTAAAGATTTAAATAATTTCCGACACCCGATTACATTAATAACTGCTACCCAGACTGAGGATAATAATAAACAAAGGAAAAAACATGATCCGAATAAATTATTAATAAAATCGGAATTAGAACATGAAGATCCTTATCATGCTCATATCTTATCGGAAAATCATGATCGTTTAGCCGAACATGAAGAAGAAAATTATACCATAACGTCAAAGCCGGAGAAAGCAATTGTTTCAGTTATTGGGGAAAATTTCAACAACAACAATAACAACTATACAACTCCAAAATATTTTATTAAATCGGCAACGGATGAGATTAAAATAAGCGCTGAGAATGAAGCGACCATTAAACCTTTTATCAATCAATGGCATCATCAGCAAAACGATAGCAATAGCGAAGCGAGAGCTAGAGCAATAAATGTTCATCACAATGCATCTACCGATATGGATGCGAAAATAAACTCGAGCACATCATCAGCATCGGCATCATCGACGACCAGTCCCATAATAAATATTGTTGAAGGACATAATCAGCATAATGATAATGACGATCAGTTATATAATATGCCCAGTCATAGCGATAATACGAAACCGATGAATGATATTTATCCGGCTTATGTATTTAATGGCGAGGGCCGGTCAGTGCATTCATCCATATCCGCTGAAGATGATTTACCTCAGCATAATTATCATTATAATTTTGTGACAACCGAACGTAATCATCATCATCATCATTATCATCCGCAACAGCATTTAAATCATTTTCATGATTATGCGCAAAAAAATTCTGCATTAAGTGATGTCAGTATGGAAGACGAGAGTCAAGAGGATTACAAAATACGTAATCAACAGCAGCAGCAGCAGCAGCAGCAGCAGCAGCAGGAACAACAACAACAACAGCAACAACAACATCAACAACATCATTCAAAAGACTTTGTGGTCAATGAAAGTTCATCATCAAATGATTTTAATACCAATACAAATGCAACATCAACATCGTCTATAGCCACGATTTCAAATGCAACCATGGCAGCAACAACGACAACAACAACGATAACAACAACGACAACAAACTCGCCTTTAGTACAAATGAAAATAACTGAAATAACTGCAGCCGGTGATACTATACATCGTGAGTGTATAGAAGATGGTAACAGTTACAAGGTAAGTATGCATAGACATACACATATACACACTCATATGCTTTTACATATTCATGACCTTTTCACATAGTTGACGTTGGTAATAACCCTGAATATATTACCGCTAGTGGTTTTATTGTTGTTTGATTGTCGTACATGATATACCGTAAACAGAGAAAATAAGGAGAGAAAAAAAAAGGAAAAAAAGTGTTAAGAAAAATTATAGAAACATAAAATTAATTATCGAAAGCCGGAAAAAAAAAGATTGAAAAGATTTGCGTCTACTGTGTAAAGAAATTTATTATAACATTATTTTTTTTTTTATTTTTTTTATTTTTTTCCTTTTACTTCTTTTCAATAAAATAGAAATTCAAAGCTATTTAATGTTAAATAGCCGCTGAAAAGATTTTACGATTGCGACAGAGAGTCCAGTCAGTCAGCATTGCAAACAGTGCTGGTTAAAACTTTCTATACTTTTTATATATATATTTAGTTATGCTTTGCACGCACATTACTTATGCATGAATCACTGAAAACTTTACCATAAGAGCATTTATGGTCATTAATGCATACACGTACGAATGCGGTAAAATGATTTCATAATGCATTTGCTTGAATGAACTGACCTTCCCTTTCAAAGCAAAAACCAAAAAAAAAAAAAAAAAAACCAATAACAAAGTTGTGAATAGTCCGTTTAAAGAAATACTTTTGAATGTTTTAACATTGATTGAACTTACTTGGCCTTCGTCAGAAGTTAAGAAATTGATTTTTGCCTCTTAAATTGTGTTAAAAGTACGCGGTAACGGC